GTCCATGAATGACTGAAAAATTGTGCTGAACACTGGAATTTGACACAACATTGTAAAATGATTATAAATCAATAAAAATGTTAAAAAAACATAAAGGACATACCTTCATTAAAAAATCCTTTGTTGCTAAAAAACACTATCATCTGAGCCTTCTGAGAGTCACAGTAGTAACACCAAAGATCACTGATCATAGATTACCACAACAAATACAGCAATCAAGAAAAAGTTCGAAATACTGCGAGAATTACCAAAATAGGACACGGAGACATGGCGTGAGCAAACACTGTTGGAAAAATGGCACCAACAGACTTGCTCAAGGCTGGGTTGATACAATCTTCAATTTATAAAAAACATAGTATTTGTGAAGTGCAGTAAAGCAACATTCAATGAAATGAGGTCTGTCTGTAGAATAGGAAGGCCTGGAAAGGAAACTTGCCTAAGGTCACACAGCCAGGAAATGAGGCTCCAGAATCCCAGCTCTTAGCCATCAGTCTCATATACTCTCTTTTTATTAGAGAGGATTCCCAGCTCCTCTTCCACTTTTATCTTTTTAATCCCATCCCTTTGTTGTCGTAACACTTTTCACAATTTGCAATTATTTTCACAATTTGTCAGTCAGCCTCTCTACCAGTAGAACTGGAGCCTGAGAGAAGGGTCCACCACGTGACCTTCCTTGCACAGAGCTGGGCATGGAGGGGCTGAGAGCAGATGTGTTGAATGAATGTCACGGGCATGAAATGCATTAGGCTGACTGAATGATCAAGGTGAATTTCCAAAAGAAAGAGAATAAATATCTACCATGTCTCAGCCACTAGTCCAGTAAAAAGGTGGGCCAAACTTGACTTTCAGGAGGGATTTTTTTGACCTGATGTGTTTATTTTCAAAATGTAAATCTGATCCACCTCTAGGAGGTAGGCATCCGCTGCCTGTCTTAATTTATATTTCCTGCCCACCCACTCTGGCAGGCATTTGAGTTTGTAATTAGGATCCAAGGCTTCCTCCAACACAAATTCATTTACTCTCTGTAATAAGCCTACACAGTAGGTGTTTCCATCTACACTTTATCAAGAAGAAAACTGGGGCTTAAGACACAGAAACAACCTAAAAGTCTATCGAAAGATGACTGTATAAAGAAGTTATGGTATATTTATACAAGGGAATATTACTCAGCCATAAAAAAGAATAAAATAATGCCATTTGCAGCAACATGGATGGACCTGGAGATCGTCAGAAAGTAAGCCAGAAAGAGAAAGACAAATACCATATGATATCACTTATATGTGGAATCTTAAAAAATGAGCCAAATGAACTTACTTACCAAACAGAAACAGACTCACAGATAGAAAACAGTCTTATGGTTACCAGGGGAGAAAGGGGGTGGGATGGGATAAAATGGGAGCTCAAGATTTGCAGATATTACCTACCACATATAAAATAGATGAACAACAAGTTTCTATTGTATAGCACAGGGAACTATATTTAATATCTTGCAGTAACCAGTAATGAAAAAGAATATGAAAAGGCATATATGTATGTTTGTGTATGACTAAAACATTATGCTGTTCACCAAAAACTGACACAGTATTGTAAACTGACTATACTTGAATTTAAATCAATCAATCAATCATGAGTTACAGGGCTGTAAGAATTTGGGGTTGGAGAGGAAGGAGAATGGTCTGGAAATGACAACTAGGATCAGGAAAAACACCAACCCCCACCTCCTGGCCCAGAAATGTACGAGGTGTGAGAGAAAAACAAACAAACAAACAAACAAACAGGCATCAGCCATTAACTTTCCCTGGAATTAAGATAAACAGATACTTGGCTAGACAGTCCTCCACACCAGGGGTCAATGAACTTTCCCAGTAAAGGGCTAAAGAGTAAGTATTTTCAGCTTTGTGGGCCACTGAGTTTTTCTTGCAACTACTCTCCTGGGCCACTGCAGCTTAAAAGCAGCTGTAGACGATATGTAAACGAACAGGTAGAACTATAGTCCGATACAACGTGATAAACAAGAACCAGCTGCGGGAGGCCTGCAGGTAGAAATGTGCTAACCTCTGACAAACACTGCTGAAGAAAGTTCAGCTGGGAGAAGATCTAGTGAACAAAAACAGGGCATGTTTATCTAAAGACCAAAGATTAAAAAGGATTTAAATTTAGAATCCTGGTTGCAAGCTGAGCCCCCATGTAGAGCTGGAAAGGTTGTGCACTGCACAACCCCAGGGAGCACTATTCACATAGACCTCAATGTCAATGACTACCCTAGAAGCTGGGCAGGGCATAATATGAACGGCCACATAAGACAGTCCTCATTGTTACAACAGTAACTACGAGGATTGTATTCTAATGAAACGCTTGAGAAGATATCTCAGCTTGAGACAGCCCTCCCCACTACTTCTAGAAAAACAGTAACTACTTTTATTGAGCATCTGCTTTGCATCATGTATAATACTTGGGAATATATAAATATTATCTCAGTGAAACTCCAGCAACCCTGTAAGGTGTGTATCTTCCTCATTTAGCTTTGAAATTCAAAAAAGGCTAAGCAGTTTGCCCAAAGTACTCAGCTAGTAAATACCTAAACTGAGGTTTGCCTGACATCCAACTCCTTCTATTCCTGTCTCCTTTCATATTGGTTACAGGGCTCTTGAAGGACGACCTAGTAAAGCATGGATTAAGAAATTTTCTTCTGGAGTCCTAATTAAAAATAATTACATACCTTAAAAGACACTGAAAATATGGCGGGCACGCCAACAAGTAAGAGAGTTCTTATTATATCAATGTCTTTATGGATTTGGATTCTGTTCAGAAAAGCTCAGACTCAGAAGGTAATTGCTGGCAGCCTGCAAAATCCATCAGCCCATAATTAACATACAACAATTATTCTAATTGCCTCAAACAACATTTCTATGTTTTTAATTGTAGAGCAATTTGCCAATCTCATCATTAATTGACAATTCATATTTTAAACATATAAAAGACAATGGGTCTTTATTTCCTTTGAGGCAACTGAACGCGTTAATCGAAATTTCAAAACACGTTTTCTTCTCTCTGACCACAGGACCCCGTTCAGATGGTTCTCACTGCAGTTTCTTCTGACCAAAGTGTATTTTCTCTGGGTAACTTAATCTTACTTTAGCGCTTTAATGCATTTCCCTAACAATTCACTTAGACCAGATCCTTGTTTCTCTCTAGACACCCTGAGCAGAGCTCCTGTTGACTTCAAAGGGAAAAGAGTGGGTACAGGGGAAACTGGGAATCTGGTTCCTGGTTCAAAACTCCTCCACACGCTATAAAAACTCACTGGTGTCTTCCTGTGTGTTAAGGGCCAATTAATATATGTGAGGGAAGCCTTTGTGTGAAACCACCCTGGCAACTCGTGAACTTGCTGGAAAGCCCAGCAGCTAACGGAAAACAAAGTTTAGTGGACCCGGTTCCCATACAGACCCCCCTCTTTGCTCATGGGGAGGGAGGGGGAAGAGTAAGGATTGCCTCGAAAGGCAGAAAGGCAGTACAAACTGCCGTCGACTCCTCCGTATTTTCTCTCTCTCTCTCTCTTTCACTCTAGGTCTCAGTCTCTGTCTCCACCGCACCCATAAGCATTTATAACCCACCATGCGCCAAACATTGAGCT